CCCAACCACACCTTGATAAACTTACAGTACATAGTTGCTTCACTATCACATGAATCTAGTTGGTTGTGCCCCAGGGTCCTGTGGTCTTTTGTTCCAGCCCTGGATAAACTATATTGAGCAGGGTGAGAAATTAACACTTACCGCCAACCACATGTGGGAACTTTGTAATGTAATGTTGATTTCTACCAGAATGGACATTCCTATTCATTAGACCTTGTTTTGACCATATACTGAGATATCATTTCACTGCAAATTATATGTAGCCTACATATAAATACATACACATGCATGTAAATATTTAAGAAATATATCTAATATACATACAATTATAACTTTTATTTTGGATGCGATTTAATCGTGATTATTTGATTTGACAGGCCTAATTAAAACAGAAAACAGCTATTTTAAATTGCAATAATATTGCACAATATTGCTGCTTTGAATTTATGATCAAATAAATGTAGCCTTCTTTCAAAAACTTTAAAACCTTACTGACCCCAAACTTTTTCAATAGCGTTATGTAGCTGCTATCGCTCTCAGCAAGACAGAGAGAAAGACAGCAATGAAGAAAAAGCAAGTAAAGACGTCAGGTCCAGAACCCCGGTGAGCTCAAAGCACAGACGATCTGTGTGAGGAGGCCGGAGACGATGTTTCATCAGAAACCTAAAACCATTAGTCTCACTCTGCTGTTGTTCACGGCCCTTGAAGTCCTCTGGGAAAGGATGTGTTAACTTTATGAGGTTGACTCATGGCCAAACCAGCATAAATCTCATCAACTTCTCTCAGACAAAGCCATTCAGCAGTTTAGTTAACCACTCGGTGACAAAAGCCAGAGAAGCAACAGGTTAGAGATGCACAAACCTAATGGTGAATTGCCAAACCATTCCAGATGTGTTTCTTACTGATATTTAACAGTGTTTGTTTGTTTAATTTTAGTAATTTGCATGTTACACAATCTCAGAGGCTCTGCAAGACAGGAGCCATTAATAACTCAAGGTGCATATGCATGGTTGGTTTATGACTGATTATTAGCCAAACATTGATAAATCAGTTTGGTTTGATTTAAAACATTTATTTCACACTGGATGGAATCCTAATATTTAAAAAGGACATCAGGGCGAAGTTCAAGGAATGTGAAGAATAAAACTGATTCTAGACTGACTTCACACATCTTACATCACACACTCAAGTGATCTTCCTCAGCTGACTACAAAGCATGGCTTTATGCAGATACAATTTCATCAAGTAACACACTGAATTAAACATGAAAAGTAGAATAACTGAAATAGTATTTTCTTGTAAAACTTACTCCAATAATCTTTGTGTACAACATTGAAATAAATACATGTAAAAAAACATGTGCATTGTGTACTTCAGTACTGACTTAAATTATTCCCTCAAATAATCACGATTATATCAAATAATAATAGATCAGGCTGTTATGTAATAATCATGACAGACCTAGATATATGGGTCAAGATTATGTCTGGCTAGAGATCAGAGTCTTCATGTCTTATTCTTCAACTGTAAACCAGCTGAAATTCAGAGAATCTTCCAGAAGGCACGAGACAACATAAGAGAACAACATGTAATCTGAGGTTTATTACGTGACTAAAAAGTAATGGTTGTGCGTAAATTGGCACCAAATGCGAATAGGAAAATTAAGGTTGTGCGTCAAGGCTGTGTGTGACTAGGCCAAAGTACTCACACATTCTACCTCATCCTAACACACTCACACCGTCAGCTGAGGAAGGAAAGTTATGCAGCGAGCTGAAAGAAACAGGCTTTGTGCAGTGATAAAGAAAACCTCCGGGGATTAAACCACGAGGGCTTCAAGCTCACAGCTAACAAGTTCTCCAACCCCGCACAACAACAAAAAAAAGAGAAAGCGAAAGCAAGACGAGGGGTATTTCAGAGATGGATTGTTAAAAAACATCAGTCACTAAAGGGGAAGCTGTATTGGGAATTTACAAGAGTCTCGACAGGTGTTTTACAGACCTTCAGCATTCCTACTCATCATCCAAAGCTGGTCTAACAGCAGCCTCTCCCTCGAGACCAGAACCACAGACAGGTAGTACGACCTGTAGCTTAAAGAAACTCTCATTAAGAGGTCTGATAATCCCACTTCAGCCACTGAACTGGTTCTTGGGCCTAATCCTCTTTGACTGTGCACCTTGGGGGAGGAAACACGGTGACCCTCACGATTTTTCAATAAACTACCAAGATGCCTATGGGTCAAAATATGTATCTTTCAACTTTCAGAGCTTGTAGGTCATAAAATCTTTAATGACCAGTTGGCGGATGCACAATGGTGAATATGGAAGCACTTGGAAACCCACAACTTTCTCAGTCTGATTTTGATGGAGTGGTTTGTTTTTAGCTGAAGGTCCCTGGTGAGAAGCCAAGGCATCTAAACGTGATCACTATTCTCCTATTTATAACGTATTTGAGTCCTGCCAATAATACGGAGTTAATGGGGAAAAACTGGGTCAGCTCGCCTTATTCTGTCCGGGTGAACTGCCAAAGGCCAGAGTGGGCCGGGTGAAGCCCAACAGAGAGCACTTCCCCAATCAACAGCATTTTGGAGAAGGATCGATATGATTCTGCATTGACAACTAATGCTTAACTGTTAACTATTAACAAATAGTCACTAAAACAAATTCCTCGTATGTGTAAACATACCTGGCAATAAAGCGCATTCTGATTCTGATTCTGAATAATGTAGATTATTAGGTGGAACATTATGATGCCTATCTGAAACCAGATTCCTTAGGAGGCACTTTCATGCAAAAACACTACAGTTAAGTCTCTGACTCACTGGGCAGTCGGTTTGGGACACATCCAGAGGGGGCTGTGGACGTAGCCTGTCTGTGGCGAGCAACAGTTTGCTAACACTTCATTCAGTGTAGAGCCAGCGCTCAAATGAGGGCGAGGTCTTAAACACACATACTAAAACATCACATGATCGCTGAGCGAGAGGTGCAGTCATGCAGAACAGAGCACACACACACACACACAACCCGTCTCATTACTGCCCTCAGACAGTGTAGACTTTATGATGAGGAGGACGCCTTAGCCCAAAGCTCTGATCTCACTAAGTGTACACATGAAACATTATGTACAAACAAAGATTCTGTCATCCGTTACTTACCCTCATGTTGTTCCAAACCTGCTAAACTTTATTTTTCAGTGGAGCACGAAAGGAGATATTTTGAGATTGTGGTGGTTGCTCTTTTCCATGCTATTGTCCCTTCGCAGGGAGCTTGATTGGCAGGTGATCTGACCAATCCCATTGCTGAATCTGCCATTTGGTCCGACAAACAAATCAGACAAGAGAGTAGATTACTTATTGGTGAATTTAAACTTGAAAAATGGTGTACTGACATCTTTCTGCTGGTTAAAATAAAACACCTTCTGATGTTCATTCATGTTTATTTCGTGCTGTATAGTAAATATGAAAAGATGATGGGTTCACGTGCCACTTGAACTGAGGCGCTACAGCAATGTCACGACACATTAAAGAACCACAAAACGGTATTTACCGTTTGAATTTCTTTAAAAAATTTAAAAATTTGAAAGCTAAGACTTCTGTTTCATCCCAGAAGTAACCTGCTCAGTCTTGTCTGTTGGCAAGCTGTCAGTTTTCTCTTTGCTCCACAATGTATTTTTCACCGCGTGAGAACATGATGTGTGGCGTGGCTTGTTGAACATAGCAACAACCCATCATTGCTACTCTACTCTATTAAGATTATCAGTATTTAGGTCTGGTTCTCACACAACACTATCATTTGATTTCAGTAGACATGAAATATGGATCATTTTATGATACTTTTATCTCACTTTTGAGTCTTTTTTAAGCTTGAAAACTCTCATAGCTCTTCCCTCATGGCAATTGCATGTAAAAGAGCAACCAGCACATTATTCAAAATGTCTCCTTTTGTGTTCCACGTACGAAAGCAAGTCACACAATTTTGAACAACATGAGGGTGAGTAAAACGGAATTTATGGCCGATTTGAATTGCTCACATTACATACATCAGCAAGGAACAGACACTATTTAACTTAAAGAACATTAAATAATCGAAAGTTGTCACATGGTTCATGAATGTTTACAAAATGGCATATCTTTGCCATGTATCAACTCAATAGGAGAAGAGATAGTGTTTGAGTGCAGAATAGGCAGGGCCCTGCTGTTCTCCTCTTTGAATATCCTCCCATTCACGGTCACGAGTCTAGCATCTAGAGCTCTGTTGATAATCTCGTTCAGAGAAGGCTCCGAATGCATGCATGCACAGCCGCATGTGTTCTTTTTGTTTGCCAGTCTGTGTGTGTGTTGCTGTGTGGGCGCATGCTTGCATGTGCGCATCCCTCCTGTGGACCCATCTGTTACCGCTGAGGGCATTTTAAAATCTATCACATTTAGCCAAAAGATCTTCAGTATTTTTAGCATAACACACAGTACGTATATGTACAGGACTCTCTTGTTTACTAAATCAAAAGGCAGTAAATATGTCTTGTTCTGTTTGGGTCGGACAGCAGATCTCTTGGTGCTGAAAAGCTTGGGAAAACTATTTCCGAATGGATTACAGCAAAGCTCTGGCTACTTCCCAAAGTGGCAGAGAGCTTTAGAGACCAAAACACTCAATCTTTGAGGCAGACTGAGATCCACATGGTTGTCACACCGACAAAGAACAAACAGCTAATGAATACCATCAAGACAATGAGGTTGCCATCGACGCAGACACTCCTGAAAACCACTCACACCTAAATCTCATTGGCAAGTATCCACACCATGGACACAGACAGCAGCACAGAGTCAGCAAAAATAAACCTGCATCTAGAAACCTTCAGAAACCAAATATACCGAGATGAAAACTAGCTTTTTCCTCAGGATGGCTTGTCAAGATGATGCCCAAAACCAAATATAGCAACGGAATGACTCATTTCTCTCAAAAGTCAAAAACCAGTCTGGCACCTCGACAAAAGCGAACATGACTCACCTCTATTGATGTACTGGGCGGGATGTGTTTATCTGTAATGGGGAGAAGGAAAAAGAAAGATAATCCAATCAGATATACATTATCATACTCAGTGTTTTAAATTCACATACCACAAATCATTCATTTTTCACATATGTTACCATTTTCTCTTTATCAACAAGCTTGACCATCTACATCTAGAGATTGTTTTTTTTCAATTCTGGGTAGCTGTTAATGTGTCAAGGATTGTTAGGCGGTTGCCAGGGTGTTTTGCTAAGTAGGGTTGGGTACCGATGTAGGGTTGGGTACCCATGTAACCGGTATGTACTAGAACCGAATCAGAACGCACACTTCGGTGCCTCATTTCGGTGCCACTTAAATGCTTGAGCGATCGATTGAAATATCTGTTCTCTGGTTCTCCGAAACTTACATAAGGATCACCAGCACCGCACGTGAAAAATTATTTCCCGACTGAGAAAATTCACAAACGCAAGTCGAAAAGCTCTAATAATACAAATCCAACACATCTTTATAATAACGCGAGTGCCCATGTTGTTTTCACATTCCGACTTAAAAGCACAACTCGGGAAATGAGAGCATCCGAGGAGCGCGTGCGAATGCAGCAATTACACTTGCTCTGATGGCAGCAGGTAGATACAGTTAGCTAGCTAGATAGGAGATAAATATTAGCTAGACATAAGATAAACATTCTTAAATTAAAATGCCTAAAGCTAAACTTCCCTTGTAATGACTTGCAATGAGAATCGTTTTTTATAAGGCTTCTTGTCACAGAATGAGGCAGAATATGTTCTATACTGTAAAAAGCATATGGTAAAATGGCTATGTCGATTAGCAATGGATTATAAATATACTTAATTATGATGAAAATACCAAAGATGTTTTGAATAACACCGATAAACTATACATTGTCGGAATCTAGTGTTAATTGTCTTTGTTTTCTCATTTAAAACATTTATATCTTCTGTTTACTCAGTTACAGCTATAGCTATAGCAATGCCTTTGTCCATATTAGGGATTTCCTGAGTCCTATTCCTTCTGTGATGCACATGGGGCGTTTCTGCCCGAGGGCGCCCTCGGGCGTCCAGTATGAATGAAACAGACATTAAATGTGTTTATAGCACTCAATAATGGCCAATCCATCCTATTTTGGGTAATTTTTTTTTTTTTAAGTATCGTTTCAGGCACCGGTACCGTTTTAAAAGTATCGATTTGGCAACGGTATCGTAAAAACCCAAACAATACCCAACCCTATTGCTAAGGTCTTCTGGGTGGTTGTTAGTGTGCTGCTAATGCAATTGTTGGATTGAAGTTGCTCTGTACTTGCAATAGTACTACGCAATAGTACTTTTTCTGCAGCCTTAGTTACAGAAGTATTATTTATGCAGCCTATTTTTCCTATGTATTTATTTCTATTGTATGAGGTCAATCAAAACATTACACACTTTTATTTGAAGCAAAAACTTATTTAAAAAGTATTTAAAATGTACAAGGTACAAGACTGTGTTTAATTGCTTTAATGCAGAAAAGAACAACAAGAAGTGATATAATCGAATTACAAACGCTGGAGAAATATAAAACTATTGATGTTGTTTATGTGTTTGGAAATAATATATTTTACGTTTTTTTTGCCTAATATGCATATATACATAAATATTTAAGTAGTTTGAGAGTGTAGGGAGATTGACTGTTAAGTCATTCACAGCTCTTTAAGGGAGCAGGTGAGTGCTAAAGAGTTCTTTTGGCGTGATTTGTTTGTTTTGATTCTATGATTGGTGCAGATTTCTTTGCAAAATCATGGGTAATATAGTTTTTCACCAATTATGCGGTTAAACATGATTATAAAAAAAAATAGTTGACAAAATGCATGCTGATGGCATCAGCATGTACCATTGATTACCAACCTCAAAGATCACAGTAAGTCTGTCTTTAATGGTTTATAAGTAATTACTAAAAATATATATATTTGCTCATGGAGAAAGTAAATAACATTTTTACTTCGAAACCTGACTGTCGCATTCTATTTTGTGGCTAGAACTGGTGGTTTCTAGAACCAGTTCATAGGATGTTCTGAATGGTTTTTTTGGTCCAAAGAAAAAAAAGAGACGGTATTACTTGGTCCATCTTTCAATGCAAGTCTAAAGGGTTTTTTGTTTGTTTTTGATTGGAACCAAAAATCAAAAAGGTAAATATCACACCTCAACATGCCACATGATTTGAGGTAACATTCATTTTCGAAGCACAAATGACGTGGGACGAGATAGGTGCTTAATTTTAATGCATATGATTATGCAATAATAAAAGAGATGCTGACCTTAGCAAGCACTGTTAATTAACAGCATCTTTCTAGAGAAGTGTGCAGTATGGGTTGCAGCCATGAATAAATTTCATAGAAGGGAAATTGACCATGACAAACCCCCTCCCCCATTTCTATATTACACAGAGGGACCCAGGGGTTCACCTCAGACAACCTTCACATGAAATATTTAACTCAAATCTATAAGAGGCAGACAGAGATGCAATTTGTGCCCATTGAGCCTGAAATACACAACACACTGGGGTTAGAATCGTAATGTCTGTCTTTTAGCCCTTCCTTCAGTGGCACTGGAAGTATAACGTTACAGCGTTAAAAGAAAGAGCCTCCTCTGGGATTGGCAGAGACCCAGAGTTCATTTCTGCCCCTAATGAATGAACCCAGTGTCATTGCAACGGTCACTTTCAACAACTGAATCTCACATATAACTGAAAATGTGCAAAGACGTCTGAAACTGAATCCTCATAGAGTCTAACCTGCACCATCCGGACATGAAAGAGGTGTTTTTGAAGAGGTTCTTTTGTCTTTTAGTGCAAAACAGATGCCAATTACATTGTTGTATGAAAACAGACAAATACTGTAATATTATCTTCCTATAAAAATGAAAGGAGATCACTGGAAATAATTCATCCTACAATGTGACCTTCTTACCATGGACAGCCATTCACAAGGGTGTTGACTCAATAGGAAAGTTACTAACCAAAATTGGGACAAAAAGGAAAAGGTGCAAACCCATGCTGCTAAAAATTACTCTGCATTTATTTATTTTCAATAAATATTCATATTTTTGAGCTTAGTCAGACAATTAACTTAAAATAGAGCCACCAAGTGGATTACTAAATATGTTAATGTTCGTATATTAATATTTGTTCATGGAAAATACTAGCAACAACATCTGTGACAAATATGCAATATATTCTGATGCTTTTCATGCAATCATAGCACCTTGTATGACAGAAAGTGAAAGCGTTATCAATCTCAGATTAACCTATATCTTAGGCTTCTCGTGATCTTCAGAGATTACACTTTCATATTTAATTTTTCTAGTTGGAATACATGCTATTTCCAGGGTTGCAGCAACTATGAATCAAAAGAAAACATAAACATCACTGAAGCATTGCCTGGAGCTTGGAAGCAGATGTTGGTCCTTATTTACACATCAAATCTCTAATAGACTCTCAAACTGTTTTGTTCGTTTTGAGGGACAGATCTATTCACCAGGGATAGACCATGACAGAAACTGGCAGGTTCACAACCCACAGTCTGATATCATTGGTCAGTCAGTGTAATTTGAACGTATCCAGCAAACTTCCCCAGGAGAGCAGAATTCAGCAGATCATGTTACATAAGCATTGATAGGGACCATCTGATCTAATTACTTGCTTTACATTTGGCATTACACATCTATACTTAATAAAGAAACAGGAGACATATCATTTCACTTCAAAAAAAATATTTTCTATTAAGAGGGACTATCAAACGGCATAGGTATACTATGACTGTCTTGATCTAAATTACTTCAAGCTGAAAAAACCAATGGAAGTGTGCTTTGGAAATTAAATCTCAGATGAAGATACTAGCTATATAAAACAGCAAAAAGAGCTCAAATAACTGACTATCATGTCTGAATCCTTGTTAGGGAGATAGAAGGATTGAGACACTCATCCCAATAATTATACTTATAACCAGCAGTCAGATTGACTCCCAAAGGAGAAACAGAGATGGAAGCCAAATCCAAAAGCCTGAGGCTAAGGAACCCAAATGAGATAATGGTTGCTAATTTAATTATACTAGTTCTGTCTGAGACATCCCACTCTCTAAATTATTTTTTTGAAATGATGACGATTTTGAAAAAGAAAATCTAGTTATTATCTATATTCAAAGCCTTGCTATTCATTCTCATATTGATATAAAATAAATCATTTGAACCAGTAATCTGATGGTATATTTTAATTTAAAATGGTTTAATATTATTCACTTGGAACATCCAATGCACTAAATATGATTGGGAGTATAACATCAGAGCTGTATTTACCATGGTAAATGTTCTACACTTATCATACCTGAACAATACATAAACATGCCTAAATGTTGAATCAAGATGAGAAGTATATATGCATGATATCACACGAGTACTAGGCCAAAGAGCAGGCCCCTTATGTTGCCCTCATGACTGAAGGTGCTTATGGATGAATCCATCACATGGCCCTATTGTTTACAGTGGCACGATGGTAGCCACGATATAACCGGTATTATGGAGAGTGGTTGGCATTGCATTGAATATTGGTTAAAACCATGAGGTGCTAATAAAATCAAAAGCATATGATATATACATACAATTATATATTTAAATTATCGAATAAAACACCTAAAATAATCGGTGAAAAGCTAGATTTGAGCTGCAGGTACATATCTAAATCTGTCTAGAATTCGAAATGGCCTCCATTAATCATAATTTCGCTTATATTTACGCGTCAGCTGTAAATAACGCGTCTCAATGCCATTGCTGTTTAGCTGGCTTCATGCTGCGCCATTTACTGCGTTTACTTGGACTTCTCTCTGTAAACACTCAGTTTACCTGGACTGCTCTGTTGATATAATTTCACAGTCCCGTCCTTCCGGATCCTCACATCTCCAGGACCCGCAATCCGTCCAGGTGGACTCCCACCTGTCTCTTTCCGTCTCTGTTTTTGAGTTAACCACCTGCAACACTGATAACACACGGCCCAGGCTTGCTCCTCATTGATCGGCTGACTGTACAGAGTTAAAATCTCTTCCAAACACAATTCATCTTCCCCGTCCGTACAATCCATACTGATGTCTTCAGGTTTCGCTCCGTCCCCGGGATCCTGGAGAGCCGACGGTGAGATTAGCATTCCTTCGTCAGTCATTCTTCTTCTCCAGGCTTCCCGAGAGCAGGAGAGACTGTGTTAGGGTGATAAAGAGGCAGGAAAGGTATGTTTACGTTAGGTCTGTCATCTAGAAGCAGCGCGCGCGTGTCGTCCTCCGCTGTCTGTGACGCTACTTCTGAGCTCGCGCTGCTGCTGCTGCTGTTCGACTCTGAGAGGCGCTCGGATGACTTTTCCGCATGGTCTCAGAGTCAGTCAGATCCTCGGCCAGGTGTTTCCCAAAACAAACTGTTAAGAAGACTTTTACCACATTTTATAATAATGTAAGAACTTTAGAATTAGCCAAACCGCGTAGCCAGAAATGGTTTGTCTACAGTGTCTAATTTAAAAAAATAAAAATAACAAGCTAACACATCTGAAAGTTAATGTTAGTAGGCTACATATGTTAAATCTTGACCTAATTCTGATTGAAAACGTTTAATTTAAATCTAACTGTGAAATTTAAATGTTAACCCGTTAAATGTCCAATTATTTGGTATGCAAATACACTTGGCGCCAGTCAAATGATTGAGGAATAACAGTAAGGCTATGCACCAGTGGCCTGTGCTAAATTCAAATAGATTAACATTTAGTTTTAGATTGCCCAATTAAAGCTGATTCATTAATAATTAGACTGCTGTACCCTTTTCTCTATAAAAAGGTGACAACGCAAAATTGTAAACTAAATTGTGGATTTAATGTAGACACAGGGACTCTGTTGGCTTAACCAAATGAACGACAGCTATAGTAATTGAAATGGTAAAAGCAAAAAAATAAAAAATGTACGGGATCTTTGAGGTAATAAAGTTAAATATCATGTCTGGTTTAGAATTTGATTTGCTTGGTAACGGATATAGTATAAAACTAAATTGGTAACTATAAATTAATATATAGCGGTGGTTGGTTGTAACACTTCACAGCTCTTTTCAAGAGCAACAAATAGCATATTGCAAAAATCAGTAGAGACTTAAATATGCTCCATTTATTTTATTTATATCTGTTTCTGGTCATTGAGAAAGAATAGCATTACATTTCATGCAGCAGATGCTCTGCACATACAAATTAGCAGCCTCTGTCCCTGCATGAGTGTGAAGGTGACTACACAATGTGTCAGATATGTTTTCGGAGTAAACTGTGTTAATGCATTTCTATATTTGGTATTTTATTTGCTGTTATGAATCATAAAAACATTTCCTACATGTTTACCATTTTGAATTTCAATTGTTGTGAAGTGATGATGATAAGGGATGGCATAATTATTGTGTTGGACAGTAGAATTTAAATCAAATTCACACACAAAAACAATGTTGCATCATACATGTTGCTATAGGTAACAGCATTGCTCTTTGTACTTGACATTAATTAACATAGTTTTGGGATAAGTTAAACATTTCTATAAAAGAAATTGTCTATTTTGTGATGCAGCATTAAGATCTGGTAAAACTATGTACAGGTAATGTCTCAATTGCTTGTGCAATTGAAATGTAAGATAAACTGCTCTATCTAGTGGTTCCAGTGATTTTACAGCACTTAGCTGTCCATATTAAATAAAGCAGGGTAAAAAAAAATTTTGTCACACTAAATAAAATACATTTTAACTTAAATTAAAATGTAATAATTAATAATTTCAGATACATGCCAAAAAATACCTTGCAATTTGCAGTAAACTGCAGTATTTACAAGAATGGAATTACCAAAAGACATAAATAAAAGAACGAAGGTCATAATATTAACCAACCAATCAATTAATTGTTGTTGTGCTTTTACAAGTGTTTAGGCATGACAAAAATATTCAGTAGCCTTGTCTTTTATAATATGTAATTAGCATTCAAATTGCACAGTGAAAATCTGAGAGCTATTATTAACTGCGAGCAATAACTCTTTTGTGCAACATTATGAACGTGAATTTATTTTATGAACCTGAATGTGTTAACATTATGAATGTGCTTTGCTCAGTAACTCCTGTGAGGATATCAGGGTTGATTAAAATCTATATTTGCCATGCTAATAATCAGATGCATCTTTTTAACCAAGTTTTGCAACAAACTAAAGCAAAGCATATTTCTATAGGCTAAGTGTGCATTAAAAAGATATCATCTCTTGTGAAGCTCTATTTCACTTTACAGCTTATGGTTTCTTATATAGCCCATAATCGACATCGCTGAACTCTTCTGGGTTTCAGAGTATATCCTCTGCATCAGACAAAGATGGGGTTGTTTTGTCCTCATGGCTCCCCTGGGTTAGATGCAGCATTAGATGAAACCCCTTCAGAATGAGTAGTTTCCTCCTCATGCGTTGTCTGCTTTGAGTCACTTATCTGCTGTAAAACACAAACAAGCTGTCACCATGCATCGAACGAAATATTTTTGATCGTCATTACTGTGTCGGCAATGTCAATAGATTTATGTCAGTAGGCTATATTTTGTAGACTATAGATATAAAATATTTTAGTACTTTCTGTCTGATGTTACACCACTTGACATTTAGGCTACACCCGGGAGTGATGATGAGAGTTTGTATTCTACAATTTAATGCAAGATGTTTCATAATTTTAAATCAATGTCAGTGTGGTGTAACCAAGCTATTTTTGATCATCATTACTGTGTCGGCAATGTCAATAGGCTATATTTTGTAGATATAAAATATTTTAGAACTTTCTGTCTGATGTTACACCACTTGACATTTTATAATGAAAAAAGATTAATTAAAAAGAGTCATTAAATCAAAGTTATTAGAGTCATTAAATTAAATCTATGAAACCAACATGAAAACATGAAATTCTAAAATATTATTAAAATATTTCTGGACATCCTTATTAGCCCTCGACTTACTGTTTTATAAAAGTGTCCTGGTATTACTGTACACTGGTGCTGCCATGGTACTTGTTTTAAGGAAACAGAGAGTGATATTTGAGTCATTTATATATGACAGTCATTTCCTTCCAATAATTCTGCTAAATCAGTGCATATGTGACCCTGGACCACAAAAGCAGTCATAAGTAGCATGGGTATATTTGTAGCAATAACCAACAATTCATTGTATGGATCAAAATGATCGATTTTTCTTTTTTGCCAAAAATCATTAGGCTATTAAGATCACATTCCATGAAGATATTTTGTAAATTTCCTACTGTAAACATATCAAAACTTAATTTTTGATTAGTAATATGCATTGCTAATGACTTAATTTGGACCATTTTAAAGGCAATTTTCTCATTATTTAGATTTTCAGATTCCAGATTTTCAAACTTGTATCTCAACCAAATATTGTCATATCCTTTCAAATTTAGGATTATTATTTATTCAGCTTTCAGATAATGTATCTTTTTGTTTTGTGGTTCAGGGTCACATATATGGTCATTTGAATATAGTTCCTCACTCCTGACAACAAAACAGAATAAAGAAAATTATGTGCTGTAATTTTATTGACTTTGATTGGTCTTTACATTCAGTATGTGATCATGTATTTCACCTTTTCCAGCAAAAACATGAATACATTTAATCTCACAAGCACAAACACAGACAAACACACACATAGTGGTTCCTTAACAACACAATTAAACATAATCACTGCATTACCCGCACATGGCACAGAGTAAGCACCAACAGAAAATTAAAATCAACAGAATGCACAGCCATTACAGGCTCAGCGAAAGACGAGTGTTCAGTGTTGGACCACACATGCCCCCGAAGGACAAATTTTAAAACCCCTGAAAATCCTTCATTTGTAAACAAATTAAACCAATAATAACACATATGGTGAGATTCTGAGACCTCTTATTTGAAATAGTGATCTGCAGGAATGATAAAGGAATGAGGCAGTGAGAGGAAGGTACTAACAGAGAGGTAAAAAAAAGAAGTAAAGATAAACAGTAAGTGTTTAATACATTATTGGGTTCAGTCTCTGTGATGCAGGATGGAATGGTGAATTGGAATTTGAATTCTATTTGAAGTCAAGGAGGTTGCAGTCAATCTTGTAGTAAGCATATGGATAGTACTCTTGCTGGCTGAGATTCAGACCTGGGATGTCCATAGATGCCTATAACAATAAAAATGAACAAATCAGCTGTGATATCTCTATATCTTCAATTAGGCCATTTTCTTATGCTCACCAAAGCTGCATTTATTTTAATAAAAAATAGCAAATTCAGTAATATTGTGAAATATTTCACATAACTATTTTGTATTTGAATATATTTTAAAATGTACTTAATTTCTGTGATGGCATTGCTGTGGTGAATATTCAGCTGCCATTACTCAGGTTTTTATTGTCACATGATCCTTCAGAAATCATTCTAATATACTGATTTGGTGCTTAAAAGGATAGTTCAGCAAAACATTTTAATTTTCAACTTTAAGTTGTTCCAAACCTGTATGAGTTTCTTTATTCTGTTAAACACCAAAGAAAATATTTTGAAAAATGTGGGTAACCGAACATTTGCTGGTACCCATTGACTTCCATTGTATTTTTTTCATACTTTGGAAGTCAATGGCTGCCAGAAACTGTTTGGTAACGCAAAATATCTTCTTTTGTGTTTAACAGAAGAAAGAAACTCATAAAGGTTTGGAACAACTTGAGGGTAAAAATGATGCCAGAATTTTCAGTTATGGGTTAACTATCCCTTTTTTCAACTATTATTGATGCTAAATTATTAATAATGGTTCCTATTATTATCAATGTTGTTTCATATTTTTGTGGAAACTGATACATTTTTCGGAATTTGTTGATGACTAGACAGTTCAAACGAACAACATTTAATTGAAATATAAATCTTTTGTCACATTATAAATGTCTTTACTGTCACTTTTGATCAATTTAATGCATCCTTTCTGAATAAAAGTAGTAATTTTTTATCTTATTTACCCCAAACATTTGAATGGTAGTGTATAAACTGTTTTAAACACTGATAATAATATATAAGAAATATTTCTTGAGCAGAAAATCAGCATATTAGTATGATTTCTGAAGGATCATGTGACACTGAAGACTGGCATAATTGCTAATAAGAATTCAGCTTTGCCATAATAGTAATAAACTGCATATTAATATATTTTAAATGTAATGTATTCTTGTGATGGCAAAGCTGAATAGAAATCAGTTATTTTAAAGGGGAGTTATTTTGAGTGTTACAAGCTGTTT